AAGTTAAACTGTTGCCAAAGGGTTGTGTGGATCGTGGACCCTCTTGTTTCAGGGTAAGAATGGCTTATTTCAGTTCAGTTAAACCTGTTCCTAATCAGCTTCAGTGAAACCAAAATAAGCCACTCTCATACTGAAACAACCATCCACACTGCCTTTAGAACCAGTTTGGCTGGAGAGGTTTAAATTCACACCTGAACTTATACAGTACCAGCATGTTACATGACTCACCATTCTGGAGCGCCCCCTCCTGGTCAGACCCAGTGTTGCAGCACTTCTGTCTCGTGTCCCCACACCCATCTTTAGCCTCTACCAGTCAAGCCACTTTAAAGCATCCAACCCCTTCCAGGGTAACAGAGCCCCTTAGTCCAAGTCAGACAATATTGTGGAAAGGTGTTGTCCCAGGGTGCCCACTCATGGGCTCGGGTGGCCCTGCAGGCACCTTGCCTCAGTTTCCAAAAATAACTCACAGCTGCAGTCTTTAAAATATCATCCCCCTTTTCCTGGGCTCTAAACAGCAGCCGCCTCCCAAGAGAGGCCCTTTGGCCCCTCTTCAGTTCAGAGCTTCACAGCCCTGCTCCCGGGGGCTGAGTTCTTCCCCCCAGGCCGGTGAGGCCGCTCTCTCAGAAACTCTGACTGGGCTGGGAGCCTCCTTTTGATTCACCTACCCTGTCAGCTAATCAGTCTCTTAACCCTTGCTAGGTGGGCCTAATTACCCCCCCCCACACACACACCCACACCTGTGTGCACTGGCTGGACCCCATCCACTCTACAAGGCCCCAGGCTCTTAAATCAACAATGGGGGGGGGGGTGTAGCCCCATGGCTTCCCTCTCCCAGAGGCCGACTGCTCCAACAACTGCTTCAGTTATATCCCAGCCTTAACCTGTCTCCATGGACCCAGCTAATGGGCCTCTCACTCCACCCGCTACGGCCTTGAAAGACCAGTGCCCTGTTACAAACATCAAAGCAAATCTTGGGCCCTGTGGAACTCAGCTTTCAGACCCTTCTTTACAGGCAGGCTCCCAGTGGCAACAGTCTAACCGCTGGTTCCTGGGCGCCAACCATTTGGGATAGGGCCCGGTCTACCCTTACCCCGAGGGCCTCTGTCAGGCCAGTCCTCAGCCACTTCCGAGCTCCTACCTGGCTTCTTGCCTCACCTCAGAAGATCCTGTGCACTCCCCCGCTTGCTGTTCATCCTTTTTTCCTCTCTGGCTGCCCTCTCTCCTCAGACTAACTACAGCCACAGGAAACCTCCTGCTCTTCCCCAGCTGGTCTAGCCTGCCTCTTCCACTGCAGGGGATATTGGCAGGGTTTCCCTGCCCGGGACCCTCCCTCCAAGCTTCCTCTTCCTTCTTTTAAGTCTCACACCCTGCACAGGTGCTGTGAGGTGGGACTAATTGCACAGGGCTGATTGGCCCAAGCATGTCACTTCAGCTCAGTTTCTCAAAGGCATTTAAGCTCCTGACTTCCACTGTAATCCAAGATATTTAGGTGCCTAACTCCCACTGAGGATTTGAGTCTTGGTTTCCCTGTCCCTCAGTTCCTCATCTGTGCAATGGGGATAATAGCAATGCCCTGATAAATACATTAAAAGATTGTGAAGTGCTCAGATTCTGTAATGATGGGGGCCACAGAAATCTCTAGGATAGATTACCTTTGTTAGTCAATCTTCAGGGTACAGGCTGCATCTTTTTCCTCTAAAGCACCATGAACATTTACGGTGTGATTTAAATATTAAATGCTACTAACGATGATGATCTGGGCCTTTGAACCAGTGACCAAACGCTGATAAAAACAAAAGAACGGCCATACTGGGTCAAATCAAAGGTCCATCTAGCCCTGTATCCTGTCTTCCAACAGTGGCCAATGCCAGATGTTTCAGAGGGAATGAACAGAACAGGCAATCATCGAATGATCCATCTCCTGCCATCCATTCCCAGCTTCTGGCAAACAGAGGCTAGGGACACCATCCCTGCCCATCTTGGCTAATAGCCATTGATGGACCGATCCTCCATGAATTTATCTAGTTCTTTTTTGAACCCTGTTATAGTCTTGGCCTTCACAACACCCTCTAGCAAGGAGTTCTACATAAACCATTACTAACACCACATGCCAGCCATGTTTTACCTGCATTTAACTGCAATTCTTGTTTGCAGCGCTGGCGTAGCCACTTTGGTCCGAGGATATTAGAGACACAGGTAGGTAGGGTAATACCTTTTAGTGGATCAAATTCTGATGGTGAAAGAGACAAGCTTAGCTACAGGTCTGGGGAAAGTACTCAGGGTCACAGCTGTTAACTGCCCACTTCACCTTGATTGGGCTTGTGTTAACTTCTTATCTGTCCCACCTTGTATTTAGCTGTGACACTCTGAAGACGAGCTCTGTGTAAGCTCAAAAGACTCTTTCAACAGTAGAAGCTGGACCCATATAAGATATTATCTCACCCACCTTGCCTCTAACTGCAAGGTAAGTAATGTCCTCAATGGCCAGTCAGTCAAACCCCCTGCCTGGCACGCTTTCTAGCGCACGTACCTGTGGAGAAGAGGAGTGTCGTCAGAAGAATGTTTTCCATGCTGGAAAGGAAGCAACCAATGGATGCATCGGATAGAACCTGAAAGGCAAGGCTGCATGTAGAGGAAGAGAATAGGAACCTTACAAGAAATGCCAGGGACTGGGATGGTGACCGACACTTCACACCCTGCTACTGTGATTGAGAAATGATCTCATTTGCAGAGTTAATAGTGGGACTTCAATTTACAAATGAACTATAAAAGCTACCCAGAGACTATCTGCCATTTTAAGGCAATAATGGTAATTGCCACCACCACCTGTGTGGGTTAAACTGGAATAGTGAAAAAGCTCTGACTGTCAGCCTGTCTTCAGCACCTGATTTATTAATGAGCACTCACAAAACATGCTGTAGGGTTGCCAACCCTCCAGGATTATCCTGGAGTCTCCAGGAATTAAAGATTAATCTTTCATTAAAGATTATGTCGTGATGAAACCTCTAGAAAGACAGTCAACCAAAATTAGCAACCCTAATTGGCAGCCCATTCGCTTCAGCATGTTAAGTACCTATAATATGTATGTGAGGATTTTTTTCAACCAGATTAGATCCTGAAGCTTCAATGCATTAAAGTGAACCAGGAGGGAAACATTTCAGTTTGGTAGTTCACGGCCAGCATTTTCCCTCCTCAAAGATGGCAGAACTGACTCCCCTCTATCCTTGACACTGTGGTGAGGGGAGAATTGTAGGAGCTGCATAGTCCTTGACAAGCTGTGCCCTCAAGCCAATGACAGCGCCCAAGCACCATCATCAGAACAATCACAACAGCAATTTGCGTGGTGAGTTTAAAACAGAAAAGCAAAACAGATATTAAAAAGCCTTTTGAAACCTTGAAATTAAATGCACTGTGGGACAAAAAACACACACGTGTATATATAGCTTTATTGAATACTGTAGATGTTTCTTGGTGGAGAATATTAAATAGACCCTAATTGCCAGACGAGAGTGAGTGACAAGCTTCACAAGGCCAAGAATGATGACTCTTTGCAGAATGGTAATTACTGCTGCATTATGCTTAGTGCTTTCAACAGAGAAAGAAACTCTCTACAAAAAGGCTAAAAATGTACCTGTGGATCAGCTTCCATTGCCGCATTTAGATATCTAAGAGGTGGGAATATAGAAAACAGGACCTTGAGGTTCAGCACACTTGTTAATTACCTGTGATTCACCAGCCCAGTGGTGGAATTAGCTCCCTGCTGGAGGCAGCCTGACGATTTGAAGAATATCTGCAACTTGGGAACAGAGAAATTTTGTATTGTTTCAGGAAGACCAGGCAGTTGGTGCAGCGTCAAAGCTTTATTATTTCCAATTCTAAAATGTTACATAACACAACGAGGGAGGGAAGGGACACACACAACATCCTAGTAAATGGAGACCCATTCACATTCCCTTTCCTGCCCACCCCCCAACTAAAAACGCAGGCATCTGTTACTGGTTACAATGAAGATAAAGACCTGGTTGAAGACATGTAAACACATATTAGGGTGAAGTACACCTTTAAGGGATGAAAAATCTCTTTCGTAAAAAGTATTAGCAGAGTTGCGCATGTCTGCATACCGCATTTGCATGGGTGGATGTCTACACTTCATGCTGAGGGTGTACATTCCAGTTCAAGGAGCATGCTAAAAATAGAGCATACTCTCAGCTGCGGGATTGTTCCCCTGAGTATGTATCTGGGATCACTGGCGCTGCAGCAGCTATGCTCTATTTTTAGCATGCTAGCTTGATGAGAGCTAGTGCAGGTACATCTCCTTGAGCTGAAATTGACACTTTCCAGCTCAAAGTGTAGACATATCGATAGTCGACATGGATTGGGCCTGGCTCTTCTCTCACTTGGGGCCTGTATCCTGTATCCACGTCAACAGGTTCCAGATCCGACTCTGAATCAGGGACAACTCTGCTGAAGTCAACAGAGTTACACAGGTGTGAGCAAGGGGTGAATAGGGTTTTGGGACAGTATCAGCCCCACATCCATGTTTAAGCAAGAGTGTTTCACAAAACAATGTTAATTGAAGCATTTTCAGGCTTTAAAGCAACCCAACAAACCAGTGAGGAATATGTCAGGAGTAAAACATCCCCCCCGTAGTGTTGGCGATTTATATGTGCTGGTGAACGAGAACCAAAGAGCAAAAGTGGCTGTGAAACACAACGAAACTGACTAGGCGGTTTTCATTGTCCAAGCTGAGTGAAGTATAACAATGAAACAAGCAGGGTGGATAGTGATAAGGAAAATTCGATTCTGCCTTACTAAAGCAAAGTGGTGGTAAATAAGACATGGAAGGAAACTGGGTTGTAAAAAACTGGGGTAACAGTTTCAAAAATGCCCATGAAACTTAGATGTTTAAGTCCCATTTTCAGAAGTAACATAGGCCAGATTTTCAAAGGTATTTAGGCACATGAAGATGGAGATAGGCGCTTTTGAAAATCCCATTTGGCACCTAGGCATCCATCTACATCTTTAGGTGCCTAAATACCTTTGAAAATCTGGCCCTATATGTCTTAGTCTCATAACCCAGACCAAAAGTTAAAATGCCCATCCTGTAGCACATCACCCCAGCAGGCAGCACAAAGAGCAACAGCAGGGTGCTTGGTTGGATGCAAAACCACTTGGGGTTGGGAGCCCCAGTACCTGATCTCATTTACCTTTATACTATAGTCATTTGTAAAATCCAATGCGTGTGTATGTACATTGCAGGGTATTTTCCTATTAAAAACAAATATTCCCCCACCACCCCAACCTCTCATAAAAACCCCAATTTCTGCAAGTCTCAGAAGCAATCCTCAAAAACAAATTGCTATATATATATTAATAACCCTACAATCAATTAGTGAGCCGGGAAGGGGGAGGAGAAATTGTTTAAATAGATCAGCGTGGCTAGTTTACAAAGGGGAAGGTGACTCACTAGTGGCAGTGAATTGCTTTTAAAGTGATCAGTCGTCCCTGGACCGCACTCTTTGGAGTCTCTGGGTCTCTTTGCAGAATATGTGCCTCATGCAAAGCCCTTTGACGTCAACTGAAGGACTCCCATTGATCTCTGGGCTTTGGCTCGGGCCTTAAAATGCTTGATCACTTTATAGGAGTCATGGGCTTGGCCTCTAGGCATCTGCCAGACATTGGGGAAGAGTGTATACCTCAGAGAAGAGGTGGGGATGGCACCAGACCAGCAGCTCTCTCCAGTTTAGATCAGTGCCAAAGACCCAAGTATTAGCGCATAAGAAATTGCAGCCAGACAGATGCATGAGATCTGGGGACAGCAAGGAGAAAACACAGACCTGGCTTCTTCCACCTTCACAAGGGAAAGCAGCCTTCTTTTTAGAACACATGGCTGAGATGGGTGCCCAGTGCCATCAGGGTTCTCCCACTGAAAGGTAAAACACACAGAGTTGGCAGCACAGAGAGAGGCTGCTCACAACACCAACTTCAACACAGCAGAGACCAGAAAGGAGAGGAAACATCCTACCGGAGAAAGATTAAAAGAATCGCACCAGCCATCCTCTTCCACGGCACCCTCCCTCTCTAAATAAATGACCATCCCCAGCAGGCAGCCATGTTCAAGAAGGGCCCTTCGAAGGGAGGAGGGTGGAGTGCCATCGCACCGGCTAACGGGGATCCCTGATTAAAACAATAATAAACCCAATAATAACTGCGATGAGAATACTCAGGATGGAAATCTGGCCCCACAGAAGTTGGTAGCAAAGTTCTCACTGACTTCAAGTGAGCCAGGATTTCACCCTCACCGCTTATCGAGGGAAGTTCGCCCTGTGCAGAGAAGCAGCACAAGGCTACGCGCCACTCACACGCTCTATTTCAAGGGCTTTCCTGACGTGCAGGCCTGTAGGCAGGGTGTGGGTGTGAATCTCACGTAGCGCCGTTCACCTGTGGATCTCAAAGCACTTCACAAAAAGCGGGCAGAACTCTTACAAAAATCATTTACAGGCGAGGAATCTCAGGCACAGAGATGCACAACGTGATTTGCTCAAGGTCGCTCAGTGAACCAGGAATACAACACAAGCATCTTGATCCTAGTTCAGTGCTCTCACCACGCTGCACTGCGATGTCCTTACCGAGGTGGGTAAGTGTTGGGCTCTCCATTTTACAGAGGGGGGAAATGAATCTCAGTAAAAATACTAATACACAGCTGGCTGGCTACCATGGTGTCACCTGCTCCCTTCCTCACTCAGAAGAGCACCCCTCCAACCCAAACGTTTCCAATTCTTCTGCAGCCAGCAGGAGGCAAAAACAAAAGCGGGACAAACTACGCCGAGCGGACAGCAATGTCTCTTTCCAGCCAACGGCAAGTCAATTAAGGTCTGTGTGGAATCATGGCGACTCAGAAGCCACAGAATGCCGGGGTTCGCTCAATCCACGTGGAGAGTACAAGACTGGATGTGTCAGACGAGTGTGCTGGATCCAGGTCAAGCAGTGAGACGTCGGCTCCCATCAGCACCAGGGACTTGGGTGGATGCGTCGTTTGCCTTTGAAATAAATAAAGACAAAGATTTGGTTGGCTGTGGGAGGGGGAGCAGCTTGATATAATTATTTTGTGTTGCTTTCACCTCCTCGGCGTCATTTGAAAAGCTCGCTGGGAACAGCAGCGATGAGAATGACTGTGGATCATTACGGGGGGCTGCGTCAGCAGTCAAGCCCCATTAAACTTTATTAAAGGAAGCAGAGCTGAGAGAATAAGGAAGGGAGGAGAGAATGGGTGAGAAAGAAAGAAAACGGAAGGGTTGCTCATGGAACAGGAGAACTGGTTGAGCTGCCTTCTTCACTGAACTCCTGGGAGGTGCCGAGCCTCAACTCCCAGGGTTTCAAAAGGAGTTTATGATGTCCAGCACTTTTATAGATTCACAGTGTTTATGGCCAGAAGGCATCATTAGCTCATATAGTCTGATTTCCAGCATATCACAGGTCATTAAATTTTACCCACATACCATTACATTGAGCCATGTGACTTCAGTTAGACTAAAGCATTTCAGTCCTCAGGAGAGTAAGCTATTGTGTGTGCCACAGGAGAAACTGAGGTGCCCTCAAGCCCCTGTGATGGCATGAAATTGATTAGGTGAGATGTACCCAGATGATGCTAGCAGGTGACTCACCTCACACTGCAGAGGAAGTTGAACCCCCTCATCCCCCCACCAAGATCCCTGCCAATCTGATAGGGGAGGGGAGGGGAGGATTCCTTCCCAGCCCCACAGCTGGTGATCATTTTGACCCTGAGGATGTGAGTGAGAGACATCAGCCTGACATCTAAGAAAGAGGACTTTCTGTACCATCTCACATTGGCCTATGCCAGCACTGTCCTATCTCCAGCTATGGCTGCACCCTGATACATCAGAGGAAAGTGACCCCAACCCCACCCCCCCGAGCAGATTACATCTAGCTAATTGTGCATTGGGGGAAAAATCCTTCCTGATCCTTACAGGCAACTGGCTCAAGCCCTGAAGCATGAGCTTTGATTATAGTTACTGTCTTAATCAGTCAATTCGGTTCTCTCTAAGGCGCAGGGAATGAACAGGGGGATTCACAGACTCCATGACCAGAAGGGACCACTGCAACCACCCAGCCTGACCGCTCCCTGCACATACAGGCCATAGACCTTCTCCTAGAAGTTGGATTAAAGAGCTCCGTCTTAAAGACTCCGAGACACAGGGAGCCCGCCCCCTCCCCTGGTAAGCTGTTCCAATGTTTAATTATCCTCACAGCTAGGAGACTGCATCTTATTTCAAGGTTGAATGCCTCTGACTTCAGCTTCCAGCCATTGAATCTTGTTATGCCTTTGTCAGCAAGGCTGAAAAGCCCCCACTATCAGATCTTTTCTCCATACGCAAGCACCTACACAGGGTGAGCAAGCCATCTCTCATCCTTCTCTTCGAGAAACCGAATAAACTGAGCTCCTTAAGCTTCACATTGTACGGCTTGATTTCTAGCCCCCAGATCATCTTCGTGGTCCTCACTGAACTTTCTCCAGTATTTCCACCTCCTTCTTGCAGGCCCCAGACTGGGCACAGTATTCCAGTAGTGTCCTAAACAACGCTGCGTAAGGAGATCACTTCCTGCCTCTGCTTGATAGTCCCTTTTACACATCCAAGGACCACATCACCCCTTTTAGCCACAGCACAGCATTGAGAGTGCTTCCCCTTCCCCTGCTGGAGCCCGGAGCCCTCTCCCCTCCTAGCCAGCATGTGGCCCCCCAGTCCCCGAGCGCTGCGTGGGAGGTGTGGCCCACCAAGTACCCCCTGAGCACAGGGCAGGCAGCACGGCCCCAGCGCCCAGGGCCCCCCAGCACTGGGCGGCCCCAGCCACTGCAAGTCTCAGCCACAGGCTGGTGGTGGCTGCCCTCGCCCCAGCCGGCTTCCTGGAAGATGAGCAGCCTGCCTGGGCTGGGGCCAAGGGCAAGCAGGAGGGGCCTCAGGGTGGAGCGTGGGTGGGGCCATGCAGGGCTGTTTGGGGAGGCCCAGCCTCCCCCACCCTACAATGTGTGCCACCCATGCATTGGATCCAGTGGAATTTAGCCCTCCTGGAGGGCTGGGGACAAAATGAGAATCACAAGACAAACCCACTGGAGCCCTGCACAGCCCACTCTCTACAGGGGGAACCTCCTTCTGGTGATCAGCAAACCCCAGGGCACCACAGAGCCAGGGTTGGCACAGAACAGCCAGATTCACTGTGGGCCGTGCTTGGACTGGGGCTTTTTTCCTCCCCTTCATTTATAAAATACATCCCACAGCTCAGGGTACATCTGCAGAACCTAACACCCCCCCCCAATCATCGCTCCCCAGAACTCAGGCCACCCCATCGTCCTCTGGGAAGACAAAGGGCCTAGCACTGGACCCTAACAGGCAGCACTTGACCGTTCGCAACCTGAGCCAGCCGGCACACCGCTGACCGGTCAGTGCAGACAAGTCACCCTCCGCGCCAAGTTGTGGGCCAACCAGGGTTCACTCAGGGCTAGGAACAGAGGAAATGCCAGCTTGAGTCGGACCAATATAAGGTCCCTATAGCCCAGCAGCCTGTCTCTGACTGCAGCCTGCACCAGATGAACTGTGTAGTAGGCAGTTTTAGAAGGAAGCCATCCCTGGGGGAAAGTTATCCCAAGCCCATGGAGCTAGGTGATGCTGAACATCAGCAGCCGTGGGCAGCATGGGGCCAGCTAGCCTGATTGTTAAACACAGTTATATTTCATAGAGAAAAGGAGCCCCAAGACTCCACAACCTACTGTGCCAGTACCCGTGGGGCTCCCATCGCCCTAGCCTCTAAGCACAGACCACACCCAGCCCCAGCTGACACTAGGGGCCAGATTTCCAGATTGGCTGAAAAGCACCTGCAGCTCCCAGAGGGATTGTGGGGGCTCAGTGGTTCTCAGGATCAGACTCCATTACTGCCCACTGTCCCAGTGACCTTGACTGGAATGGCAAATCACAGAGAGACAGACAGACAGACCCTGCTAGCCAGAACCGAAGCCCTACAATAAAGGGCAGCAGGGCAAGATGCAGCTCCACATCCTGCTGGAAACAGAGGGCAGTTGCCCTTCCTCTCTTGGGCTTGGGGGAGCAGCGCTACCTTGCAGCCGCCCCTCCTCTTTAGCTTGCGCTTCCCAGGGCAAGCAGCCAGTGCAATAAGGAAGTCCGTGCGTTTGCTGGTGTAATGCATTCCCACTGGCTGGCTGTGAATCGCCGGGCTCCCTTAAACAGCAGAGCACGGCAGAACTGCCTCTGGCTAATCAAGTGGGGCGCTCTCTCCGTGAAGCTTTGGCAGCATGCACCGCCTCGCTGAAGTGTCTGCCATGGCTGTCACAGGAGGACTGCTGGTGGAGCCAGTTGCTTGCTCAGCCTCCCGCTGGCTAAACAAACCTGTTGGAACAAATTGCTTCAAGAGGCACTTGCAGCAGCAAAAGCCCACTGATTTAGGTAGCTCTGCGAGAGCCTTTGGGAACGGCAGCAGGGCCCACCCAGCAGGCACCAGGTGGCCTAAGGTCCAAGGCCACTTCCTGCTGGGCTAGCGTCCAGCTCACAATCCCAGCCGTACCTTTGCTGCTGCTCCCAGCAGAGAGATCGAGGACTGGATGGGTTACCGAGACAGAACTCCTCCTTTCTCCCCTACATGCGGTTCTTCCCGAGCGATGGGGTGGCAAAGAACGCTTGCCTTACGTTAACAGCAGCCTCCACAGATGCCAGCGCAGCACCTTCCCATCTGCACCGTGCTCACTCCACAGAGTGGAGAGAAATACAGGTAACGGCCACACTTTTCAAGAGCCGCTTGTAAGTTCTGGGGTGCCCAACTGGAAATGCCTCACAGGAGCCTGGTTTTCACAAAGTGCTGAGCACCCACTCTCTGAAGTCCAGGCCTCTATACGGCATCTCAAATTGGATGCCCCAAAACTGCGGCGTCCAAATTCACTAGTTGCTTCTGAAGATTTAGACCCGTATTTAGAGATCTAGGCACAGATTCTCAAAGCTGCGGAGGGGATCTGGACACCCAGTAATTTTACTGGGAATTGGGCAGTCAAATGATGTGGCTTTGAAAGGTCAACCACAAATGTTACAAATACACTGGAAGTTCATGGCCTTTTTCACCAGTCCCTTGTCTTCCCCTACAACCAGACCCTTGGCCATGCTCCCTTCCCAGCCCTCTCCCCTCCCCCTTCCCAGAGCCGGAGTGGGAGAGCTACAGATTGTCAGGGTAAAATTGCTTTGAAATCATCACAGGAACTCTTCAACAAGATAGCGACCTGGGATTTGTTCTTAAGATGCGAAAGGCATCTGAGAGTTGCACTTTGGTACAGAATTAGAGAAGAGGCGAGAATGAGATCTGCATTAAAAATAAAAAAAGAACAACACTTGAGCTACTGCTATGAGACACAAGTTGGTACCATTAGAGTGTTATGGAGACATTCAGAAAAGCGATAGATAAATTCCCCCACTGGGATCTTATTCTGCAACAAGGTGCAGACGGTTAAAAGAACGGGGATCTTTCCCCCTTGCACGCCCCATCTCTCTCTGAACTCTAGTCACACCCAGGAGCCCTGCAGTATAAGAGGCAGAGCAGGGCATGGAGCAGATTGTGGATAGTTACAAAGAATTTTGCAGGAATGCTTCACTATGATACATTGTGTCTGGCAGTTAGGAACCCATCCACACCAGCCCTTCCTAGAGAAATTAAGAAGAAATGGTCTTTAATAAGAGTTATTAATTATTTGTATCACAGTAGGGCCTAGAGGCCCCGTTCCATTAGGTACTGCCAGACACACAGCAAGAACGTACAGTCTAAACAGACAAAGCATGGGAGGGGAAAGAGAAGCAGAGATCTATCTAGCCGAGGTACTCATCTGGCCCCATTGGTGTGGTACCTGAGTGCCTCACAACACCCCTGTGAGCCAGGGCAGGGCTGTTCTCCTGCTTGTAAAAATGGGAACCAAAGCACGGGGAGACAGAGTGACTTACACTCTGTATTTGTGGCAGAGCTCCACAAGACAGGCAGAGCTGGGAATAAGGTCTCCTGACTGCCAGGCCAGTGCCCTGCTCACTGGACCTCCCTGAGTGTCTGAAGTAGCACGCTCACTGCTTCACACTGCAGGGGATTCTTTAAGGGCCGCTGCATTGGTGTCTCTCTCCGTTTCTCTTTGTTACAGGTACCAGTGGGTCTCTTACACGTACCCCTGGGGGTTAGCAGAGGTCTTCCACGGGGTAGGTCAACTCATCTAGATCCGTGTTTCTCAACTTGCAAGTCGCGACCCCCGGGGGGCGTCGCAGGATGGGTTTGCGGGGGAGGGGGGGAGTCACAAGTACAGGGCCGACATCAGGAGGTGGCAAGCAGGGCAACTGCCCAGGGAACCACGCCACAGGGGGTCCCACAAAGCTAAGTTACATGCTTCAGCCCCGGGAGGTGGGGCTCGGGCTTTACACGCCTGAAAGGGCTACAGTAGTCAGGAAAGGTTGAGAACCACTGCCTCACATCACATGGTTGGCGAGGTGGTGGGGCTGGTGCATTTATTACAATGGACTATGGAATGTCTGATTTAAACTACTCATGAAGGTGTTGTATAGAACACAAGGACATCATGTGTGTACTACAGTATATTGCTGACAGCCATATTCATGCATAATGTACCACGACTGCCATTAAACTCTGCACACATCACATTGCTGCAGCGTCTCCCTATTTTTGGGAATGCTACAGTCATGTTAATGGCTTGCAGAGCCATTCACTTTAGGCTCATGTCATCTGTGCACAGTGGAGAAAATTGTTTTTGGAGGGTTGGAGACCAGAATTGTTTTGGAAGGAAAACAGAGCTTTAAAAATTAAAGCAAAAACCCTTTCCCCAACCTGCAGATTGTGTTTTATATAATGCCTTCAAATGAGAGAGGCCTGGTGGGGGGTGTGAGGATAAAGTACTCAGCCAAGGAAACAGACCATACCCATGCCAGACCGATTGTCTCTTGCAATCAACAGAAGCAGCTGAATTCGTTTAGTACCTGGCTGGGATCGCTGAGGTATCTGCATGAATGCAGGACGGAAATGGAGCCCGAGCCCGTTGGCTCTAGACACAGCTGATGTACTCGTTGGGGCATGATCCCCCAGCATGCCCGTAACACGTGTGTCTACACACCCAAGTGCTGCCAAGGGCACATACCGTTTGGATTAGGCTTGCTTCAGGCACATCCGGCAGCACCTCTGCCGTGCCACTACATACCGCAGTGGAGCCAGAGTGGACAGGGATCCCTGGTATAATTAGCCCTGATGGTGGAAGTAGTGCTCCAAATGCCATGCCGGGCGGCACAGGTCACTGCTTAAATGGCCCGTCTAATCTATCCCCTGCAATCCGCTGCACGGGACAGGGTGGATGCTTCGCGGCCACGAGGCTCCCACGATGGCGTGAGATGCTGCATTCTGCTCCCAACAGGGCCACCAGCCTGAGGTCAGCTGTTCACAATCGAATCAAGCACAAAAATCAAATAGACTTGGGCGGAAATGGCTGCTGTTCCCCCCCCACCCTGCCATCGCTGGAGTTATGTGGGCCACGGCAAAGAACTCATCCAGCAAAAGAACCAGTGTCTGAATGAAACAATTCCAGCACACACGGTTCTGCGGCAGGAATGGGAGGTGAACGACCCCAGGCCAAAAAGAAGGTACTTTGAAAATGTTTGCTAGTTGGCCACGCAAACCTGACTGCCCCTCTTCTGAGCCTGGATCCCACCTACACCCTATTTTAGCTGGACTCAAGCTTTACTAGCCCAGAGAAAGTCGCAGTCCTATATACATGCCATATGTCACCTGACCTGACTGCGAGAGGTTAACCCTGGCATTTCGGGGTCAGATTTTATACAGCAGGAAGGGCGGATTTTTAAGCTGATGACCCCCAGCAGCCGAGTGCAGGGAGGAGGCGGCACAGGAATGAATGTTGCACTGAGTGATCAACCCCTTCACTGTTCTCTCAAATCTAATTTACACCTTGACACACAAGCCATGAAACCGACTCAAGAACCAAAAGAACAGCTGGGAGGGAGAGGTGTTAAATGACAACCTCCGGGGTTACTGTGTATATAAATGTGAACTGCAGAGAGAAAATATATGCATTGCTTCCAGCTGCTCCAGATCAGAAGTGAAAGCAGCGTGCAGATCTGCTCTCACACTCAGCTAATTCCTCTGAGCTGGCTGGGGATGGAGTGGGGAGGGAGAGTTTACACTGCAGAGGGTCGGGAAGTGACATGTTTTAATTTATGAGCCAGCCTGATGTGGACAAAGCATTTTTATTTCCCTGTAAAACACCTGGATTTGCACTTTGCTTCAATCAAAGTTCAGATCCATGCTGCAAACGCTGGGATTTAATGGGCAAACGTAGGGGTGTTTGTGGAAGTCCCGTCACTAGGGGGAAAGTCTAGTGTGAGGAACAGCCTGAAAGTCAGCCATGACCTTGGACAAGAGACTTAGAATCATAGAATTCAAGGCCAGAAGTGGCCACCGGATAATGCAGTCTGAGTTCCTGTATATCACAGGCCACCAACACCACCCAGCATCTGGCCACTAAACCCCGGGTCTCTCTGACCCTGCGCAAGGGCCACACGGCTTCTCTGACAATGCTGGGCACGGACTCCGATTAGAAGCGCATGGGGGTTTTCTCGGCAGCCTTCTCTCAGCTCAGTGGGCCGGGCTGCCTGCCTGGGGCTCGGGAGGGGCACTGTGCCATGTGCTCTAGAGAGGAAGCCGGCCTGGGGGCGATGAGGCTTTTCACTCACCGGGGGCACTCCTGCTGACATCACTGTCACACTCCTCCGCCAGCAGGTCATTCTGGCAGCTCTCGGTAGCACTCGGGCCTCCCCCGCGCTCGCTGCCCAGGCTGCTGCGGCTCTCCGAGAAGGCGTTGGAGTGGGTGCTCCCGCTGGGCGTTCTGGGGGAGTCACTGCCAGCCGCTGCAGAGACACAGGGGAGCGGTTTGCTGCAGGGCTGTCTCAGTCTGGGGGAGCTGCTGGGGTTTATGGGTGTGAAAGGGGCTGGGTTGCCGGCCCTAGACATTCACAGAGCAGACACGAGGCCAGCTTCCCACACCCCGGCCTGCCAGCATGCCTCCCCCTGACCCGAGCAGGGCCCATCTCCAGCTCAGTCTCCCCGGCCACCCTGCTCCACTGGTAATTCTGATGCTGTGGAGTCATGTGCACGAGGAACCAGAATGAGTTCTGCAGCCTCAGATGGGAACCACTCACTTTCCCTCACCGCCAGCCTGGGTGGGAGGGACTCCTGGGTCAAATCACTCTGTTGTATTTGCTGGCGCCAGACCTGCCCTGGCCCTGATACGCTGCCCCCGGAGCTCACTGCCCAACAGGCAGCCACGCACCCAGCTTCAGGGGTGGAGAGGCCAACCCCAAAGCAGTGCCATTGTTTTAACGTGAGACCATACATTTGCAACGCACTCCCACATGTGAGTGGGGGATGAGAGCTGAAAGGCTTTGTGGCTGCAGGGATTGGAGTGGCAGGAGGCTGGTCCCTTTAGCAAACCAGCGACCTCACGGTGGGATGACCCTTCCCGTCACCAGTCCTGCCGAGCCATCCTGTCTCCCGTTATTATTAATTAACCACTCTAGTTCAGTCATGCTCGAGGGCCTCAGTTGGGCTCACTGCTGTGCCATGCACGCTGCAAACACACATGATGGAGACTATCTTTCCCAGAGCAGGCTCTCAACCTCCACACTAGCCCGTAATTCCTGGGGATAGCCAGACCCTCAGCTGACGGAAAGTGAGGCCAGCAGAACGACGCCAATTTACAGCAGCTGAGGAGCTGGTCCAAAGTGCACAGTAACAATTGTCACCCTACGCTACATTTCCATCACCCATTTCCGTGCCCACATGCAGGGGTAACAGCCGATTTCTCACCTGATTCCGCGTGATGCTTCCTGATCTTCAAGCCCTTGGGCCCCCCAGACAAGGACTTGTCATCCAGGCTCGAGGAGCTGAATTCTGAGTCGCTCTCGCTGTCGCTAGAAACCACTGCAAGAGACAGAGAGGGAGGGGAGTCACACCATTCCCAACGTTCACAGTCCTTACCGCAGAGGGCCAGATGGAGCCAAAAGACAACACAGGACATAACGACTTGAAGGCTTTGTCTACACTAGCACGTCTGTCAGTAACACTTTTGTCGGTCGCGGTGTGACAACACCACAAAAGCGCCGGTGAGGACAGTGCTACGGCAGCGGGAGATGCTCTCCTGCTGACATAGCTACCGCCACTCGTTAGGGGTGGTTTAATTATGCCGGCGGGAGAGCTCTCTCCTGCCAGCATAGGGCAGCTACACAGGAGACCTTACAGTGACGTAGCTGCAGCAGTACAGCTGTGCCGCTGTAAGGTCTGTAGTGTAGACATAGATGAAGACTGTTCCTTCTCCATGGTGCGATTCCCCTGTAGCTCCCACGTAGCTATTCACACTTGGTTGGGCTTTCCTTTCAAGAGGGGTTTTACGGTTCAGGGCCGTGTGTTACAGACTCAGTTCAAGTACTGGCCCGGTCACTTCGCACTCCTCCCGCCCCCCGCCCCTGGTTTGTGGCACAGCCTCACAGATTACATACAGGGCCACGCGGCCACAGCCTGTCCTCATGCTGACCCGCACTGAACACCACAAGCAGCTGCCCTGATTTCAATGGAGTGAAGTGCCACTCAGTGGATCACAGTGTGGGCCACGGTTATTATTTGTGGCGTGCTGTGTACATGAACAGTGATGGAAGTGCTGCATAAGCACCCAAGGAGACGGCACAGTCCAGCAGGCAGGGTGGTGACCAGGCTAGGGAGGCAGGAGGGCTGGTTCTAAGTCCCACTGACTTGCTTCTGTGAGAACCTTCCTCTTTCGGTGCCCCAGATCCCCGGGGGTGAAGTGGGGACGATGATACCAAGGACTCGTCTGCACATGGAGCTGTTCCTGAACGACTCTGGGTGTGGACACTCTTATTCCAGAATAGGAGAGTCCATGTCGGGAGCTATTCTGGAACGGCTGCAGTGCTTTAAATTCACACCCTACCTCCATTCGAGTTAGCGTCAACATGTACACAAGCCCTAACTCTCCTTTGTGAATCTATGATGAAAAGTGCCAGTTAAATCCTCAGTATTACAGTGTCAATCACATTCGCTTCTATTATATACAGGGTTTCCCATGCTCTTCACAGCAGTATCCGATCCGAGCACAATCCAGTCATGCATTAAGCCACCTTAATCTAGCACATGCCGCCTGTTCTCTCATCCTCCCCCCAGAAGGAGAATTGTGTGCAGAGGAGTGTCTTGTTTTGGCAGGGGGTGTTTGGTTGGTTGGCTGAACATAAATATACCTGTTGCTATGTGTTTATATCAGAGAAGGCAACGTCAAAGAAATGCACCTTGAACTTGGGAGTGGAAAGTGGGGAGGTTTGGGATGGTCCTTCGTTCCATCGGCTCAGCACACCCCCAGATAAGGTTCTGTCTCCTGCACTGATGAGCATCACCCTTATTGTTCAGAGTTCCGCTGGGCCAGAGGAGCACAGCTGTCGACCGCGGTTTTCATCCCAGAGCTTTAGATGACCTTTTAGATGTCCTGAGCGCGCCAGAGAGCTCCTTGAAGAGAAGGCCCAAGACCCTGACCTTAATTTGATAGTCTGTGGGAAGCCAGCGTAGAGAGCGGAAGACAGGTCTGGCACATTCCTAGTAGCCCGTGCTGCTGGGGAAACACGCCGCAGCTTTCTGCACTAGTTGGGGTTTTCTAAGTGCTGATGGCTTTGTACCAGGTATATCACATTGCTGTAGTCCAGCCAAGTAGTGACAACAACGTGAATCACAGAGGCCAGGTCTAGGTCACCGGGATGGGATGATGTTTCCTAGGCAGGCAGAGATGTTTCAAAGCATTACTCACGGATGCCAGGATGTGAGAGCTCAGCATCAGGGAGGAATCCAAGAGCACTCCTAGACTACACACTGAACTGACCAATTGTGTGTGTGTATCTTCAACCAGTTGAGACTGCACCATGGCTGCACGCTCTTCAAAATGCTTCCCTCTGCTTGCCAGCCTTCCTGGCTCACGCCAGCCCAGAGACTTTGGGATGGATTTGTCTCCTGGACTGGTTGGGTGGCTTTTGCTCATTTGATTCAGGCAGGTATATCTGCAGCCCAATAACCAATGTCTCATTCTCAAATATGGTTCAAAATCCTTGCGGCAAGTGTGAAGTTAGCTCGTCTCAGCCTTAAGAGAGTCAAAGTGACAAGCTGAAACATCCCCATAAAGAAAACACTCTCTGGTATTTATTGATAAGCTTTTCTATCACCATAATATCTGAGCATCTTGCCAAACATGCAGGGAGTCATCCCTGCAAGGTAAGAAATTACCATTAACCTCAGGGCAAGAAGGGAAAACGGCGGCACACAGATTAAGTAACTGGCCCAAGATTGCCCAAGAAGTTGGTGGCAGAATCCAGGGCTGCCGTGTCCCAGTCCCTCAACCCCGGTACCAGCAAGGTGACTACAGAACTCCAGTACAAGGAACTGGGCACAAGTTATGTGTCCAGCCTAAGGAAGAATATTTATTAACGAGCCACAGATTTAGGGCCCGGGGTCTCACAAGGGGTCAAGCGCCTTTGAAATCAATGGGAGGTAAGGGTGCTCTGGGCTTTGCTGGATTAGGCTCTTGGGGTAAGCTAGCTATGCATGGACAGTGTGGGTGAGAGAGAGCAACGCCCAGACAGGTCCCCCAGAGCCGCCTGCCCCACACCAGAAACCTGAGTGAGCCCCGAAAACGAAGCTTACAGTGGGTGGCTTTCAGCCCTGTGCCGAGAACCAGCACTACATCTATGCAGTAGTTCAATCCCATGGATGGGCCCACAGCCTGACCCTCTGTGCAGGGGAGAATTTCACCCCAAGCCCCATCCCCGCACAAGGAAGAGTTCAGCTGTCCGCAGGGTACAGAAAGGACTGAATATATCATGGAGGGTAAATGGGTCCCCTCAGGAGAGTCCTTCCTCCCCCCAGGTCTTTGCAGGGAGAAGTTTGACTTGCTGCCAAACTGCGCACTGTCATCATTCTCCAGATCAAGAAAGGACATCATTGCCCATTGCCGAGAGGATGAAGAGCCCAGTGGTCAGGGTGCTAGTTTGGGATTCAATTCCCTGCTCTGCCACTGACTCCCTCTATCACCTCGGGCAAGTCACTTAGTCTGTCTGGGCCACAGTTCCCCACCTGTACAATGGAGACAGTGGAAATGTCCTGCCTCACTGGGGTATTGGAAGGATAAGTGCTTCAGAGACTGTGAGATGCTCACATACTATGGAAATGGAAGATATAAAGTACCTAAGACAGGGCTGTCACTTTTCACCAGCACTCAGATTAACACACGTGCTTTGCAAAGCTACATACTGATTTACATTGTACCGGACAGAGGCAGGACAAGGGCTAGTATATTTCCCCGCAGGCAGGCAGGCTGTTGAACTGTTTCACCAAGGTCCTCTGCGAGCATTATCGCGTGCAGGCAGCTCGCTGTAGGACATGAATTTTTTTTTACTACAAAAATGTTAATATCTCAAATAAAGCATTTCTTGAGTTATCATCTCTGAGTATATTAAACCTGGCTGCTGGCATTATTGGAAGGCTATAGAAATTGACCTCGTTGCCAGCTATCTTCACAGGGCAATCTTGATCAGAACGGCTTTGCGGAGCTGAAGAGGGAGTGCAGCCCGCCAGCCAATTTTCTCACTCCAATCAGCTTGTTCCTCAATGGCAGCAACTCTTATTGTGTTTACGATTCACCCTCCTGGACTGGCCCAGTCTTCAGCTGTCGGTCGCACCTCTCATCAGCTTTAATAAATTCTGCTGAGAAAGGAGCCGTGCATAGCGGAGACCATAACTGCATTACAAATGGGAATGTACCAGCAGGGATGGATCTTCTGGCCAAGAGCCTTAAAACAAGGGGGTTTATTTTGTTAAGAAAAGTCATTATTTTTCCAAAGAATCAGAGGGGTAGCCGTGTTAGTCTGAATCTGTAAAAAGCAACAGATTCTTTGCAGATTCTTGCGTCTGATGAAGTGGGCATTCACCCACGAAAGCTTATGCTCCAATACTTCTGTTAGTCTTAAAGGTGCCACAGGACCCTCTGTTGCTTTTTACTTTTCCCAAGAATCAAGCAGGAATGAAAAATCGCAGGCCTGTCACTATAAACCACAGGCCTCAGCTAATTGTCCATTCTGATTCTATTGCCTCCGGCTGGGAGTTTCAAAGGAGCCCATGGGATTTAGGCATGTAGTTCCCACTGACAGTCACTTAACTCCCTCAGGCACCCCACCCTACAGGTCCTCCTGCTTGATTTTTATAATCACAGAAACATTGGGCTGGAAGGGACCTTGAGAGGTCACCTAGTCCAGCCGTCTGCGCTGAGGCAGAACCAAGTAACCTGTGACAGGTGTTAGTCCAACCTGTTCTTAAAAACCTCCAATGACGGGATTCTTCAACCTCGCTTGGAAGCCAGTTCCAGAGCTTAAATACCCTTCCAGTTAGGAAGCTTATCCTAATACGTAGCTTAAATCCCTCCCCTTTGCTGAAAAGTAAGTGGACCCTTTATTTAGATTAACAAATTCTTCCATCTCTGCTCCTACCTCCTAGAGCCACTTAAAAAGAAAAGTGTGGGGGGGGTTATTTGAGAGAGGTCTCCTTTACATCATCCACTATGAAGAGGTGACTGCTGAGGAGGGCCCACCAATGAATCAAGGCGAGATGGTTTTATCTTGCAACCCTGTTTGGCTTTAAATGCGCCAGAGAGGGATGGCTTGGGATGAGACAGATATTAATGATTGCAAGACACCACTGATGGCAGGAGCAGCCCACTCTGCTCTAGCTTCCACTGCTGCTGTTAGTGCAGATATTACCCATAGTGCTGATGTTTCTTTTTAAAAGTAATTTTTCTCCCAAGGCTGCTTGGCTTGTTGCTGGAGCATTGCGGAGCCCAGACAACATAAATCTGGCGCTCAAGCAGATGCTGATATATCACT